TTTGTAAGGATCACTCAAAAGACGTTTTCAGCTTACTCATTCCCAACGCATTTCGATAAGAAGTAGGGACCGTTGTCGCTTCGACTACATATGTACGAACACAAATAGAAGAAAGGCATTCTACGCGGACTCGCGTGGACTGGATTTTGTGTAGAGTAGTAAAATTCTCGCCTCCTCTCCCGGTTAGGAATTCGTGCCAGCCATTCGCAAACCGCCGCCAACTCAAGAAGGCATCCGGCGAACGGAAGTTGCCGTGCCGCATAGCCAATGAGACGCGAGCAGCGCCATTATGACAGCACGTGTACTTCTTTTCCACTCCCGCGGAGTGCATGCATACACAACACATCGACCGCCCCGCCCCGCCCCGCCCCGCGCATACGTAAAAACGCCCAAGACGCGCGGCCTCCCTCGAACGACCCAAATATTTGCGCGGCGCCTCGGCCCTCCCAGTGAACGCAACGGCGGACGGACGGCGGAAAGCGAAAACACGGTTTGTTTTTGGAGGAGCGCGTTGGCGAACGCGGAAGATGTATAAAATAAAAGAGTTGCCGAACTCGGAAAAGTTATCAATACGGGGCCAGCTGCAGCTACTCTTACCACTGTTGATATGCCACTTCGTGGTAGATTTCGAAGATCTTCCAAAATATTTTTGAAGCATGGCGTAACCTTACTCAGTCTTGTATTTTGTGTAGGCGAAGCGTAAAGGTCTTATCTTTGTAAGAGCGAGTTAACAATTACAATAGTAAATAAAAACCACAAAAGGATACCTAGTTGTGACGTGGAATACGAAAAAATTGCGACCCGTTGTGACTGGCAGCAGTTAACCTTTACATCGTTTGCGATACCAAAGCGCGACGGATTTCGAAGACTCCCAAAACAGATAAGACGATGATGCTTATTATTACTCTTGCCCCGATATTTTATACAAGCATTGTGCATAGGGTTTATTTTCTTGAAAGCACATTTGCGAAATCTGAAAGTTACATAAAATTCAAGAGACGTAAAACTCTGAGAAGTTCTAAAGGCGACAGGTATGAAAGATTTCCAAATCGTTTGAAGGTATGGTTAAACATTACCCACACTTTGGTATTTTGTATAGAACAGCGTGAGTATAGCTTATCTTTTTAAGATGATTGCAATCGAGATGATATAAAAAACATCCTAAATTTGACGTAGACTTCAGAAAAATTACCACTCACATGCGTCTAACTGTAGATTGTCTTACTCGTTTGAGATGTCAATTGGCTCAAGTTTCCGAAGGCCTCCAAAATATTTATGAAAGATCGGCTAGACAACATTAAGAATGAACTTAGTGCATGCGTATTTAGTACTTTATTTTGTTGGCTTGATTTCTAAAATATGTTCTAGACTTCGCTCAATTCAATGTCCGTTTACATAAGGTTTGCGAGATTTCAATACATGATACATTCGCTCCAATACTCTCTAATTTGTTTCAACAATTTAATTTTGCAGTTTTTTAATCGTCTGTGTAAGCCGGAGATTTTAGCGTACTGTCCAATACAAAAATTGAATGAGCATGTAAGAACTGTCGAATGGGTGCTGTATCTAAACAGCCCAAACCTCTTGGTTTTCCCTTCTTTAGGTTTTATATTTTAGCGTCATGAATCATCACGACATTGACAACCCTGTCATGAAAGTGACATCAGTTTCTCTCACATCTTACTTTGTTAGAGTTAAATGTATACATTCATAAGTTATTTTATTGCCATGATGTGCTTTGCTGAATTCAATAGAAACAAAATATATATCTCGTTATAAACGAAATTATGAATATTCATTTGGTGTACGTGGTCATACGCATTAACGGATTTGAATAGTTAAAATGGAATATACTAGAGCCATTTATGCTTGTTTGAGCGTAAATAAAATTAGTTGGAAGTCAATGATTCATTTTCAAAATAAATGCAATATGTAAAGCGATGTAATAATTGTAGTTCTTAAAATTTGGCTACCGCTTAAACGTTTCATATTTAGTTTTCGACATTCCCTTAGATCAGTTTATTAATTAAAATGTATAGTTAAATAAAGAACTTGATTATATTCTCTGGAAAAAGCTCAGTGATACATTCCTTTACTACACGCAATAATCTCTACAAACGAAAGTAAATTTGGTTACAAACGCTCTTATAAAATGAAACTAATGGGAAAGTGAGATCAATTACCGCGTAATATATGTTCTATCTGCTTGACTCTTGCAATACAGATTGAAATTTTATTTCTCAGTTCATATGCAAGGCATAATCCCTTGTATTCCATTGTGTTGGCGATAACCTAAATTCTCATTTATAAGAGATTGAATAAGAAACGTATTATCCGAATTCTGTTTAATACTCGAATGTAAATCCTACTAAGAATTGACATTCTGTTTGAATTTTTTTAGTTTTTAACTATAAATTATGAAAAGACAAATTTCTTGAAGACGATTTGACACAGAAGGCTGGTGTAAAAACAGATGACCGCGGGTTTAGCTCCCTTGCGCTATTCATTAGTCTGTGACGAATGTTTTTAAAAATTGCAAAGAGACTTTGTAATATCAGTGTAATCAGTAACCCTCTCAGTAATCCTTGTAATTCAAAACTTAAAGAATTTTTAATTAGTAAATGAGATTGATTTTAGAGTTTTCTGAATACCAAATGTTATTCGTACTGGTTAAACACCGCGTTCATATATTCCAAATACTACGTTTCAGAACAACGTTTTGTGAGATTTGTTTACGACTTTCAACTGTATTCAAGGTGCACCAGAGAAAGAAGGGTCCGTTTAAATGTAAGTAAATCTGTGTGTCAATTTATGTCAGTCACGATGGACGTTTCTGATGTATTTCTTCCTCGAGAAAAAATGTAGTCGAAGATTATTTGGAACATTTCACGGTTTCCAGAAGCGAGCAAATTGTGGGGGATTTTTGTGATTGGATTGGACGTTCTGGAATGAGAAATCTTCAGCGCGCGAACTAGGCCATTCGATTGCCTTCCGCGGAATCCGAAGGGGCAGTGTCTCTCCCGTATGTGGAGCACGTGCGGCGGCGGCGGCGCGGCGGAGACGCGGGCGTCAAAAGGGCAGCGCGTCGGCGGCGTGGGGCTGCGGCCCATCGACCGCACGGAGGCTGCGTCGGCACGCGCTCTCGTCTCCATGGCGACGCTGCCGCCGCGATCGATGGCCGCGTCGCCGACTCACCAGGATGGGCAGCGTGAGCTCGTGGGTCTCGTTGCCTCGCCACAGGCGCGACTCGCCGGGCAGCGGCGGGATGTCGCACGACAGCGCCGCCAGCTTCTCCAGCAGGCGCGACGGGAAGCCGTGCGCCGCCGCCGGTGCGCGCGTGCGGCTCGGCGGGCGCGCGGGCGGCGCGGCGGCCGCGGCGGGCGGCGCGGCGGGCGACGGCGCGGCGGCGACGCGGGCCGCCGACGCGGGCGGCGACGCGGGCGCCGGCGAGGCCGCGGCGGGCGCGCTGGTCGTCGGCGGCTCCGGGGTAGTCCACGCGTCGGAGGAGACTGCGCCGCCCGCGCGTAGCCGGCGCCGCCGCCGGCGACGTCGCCGCCGCGGCGCCGGCGTGGACGCGCTGCGCCGGCGTGCGCGTCGGTAGACGGCGCCGGCGCCGCCGACGTCGACGACGAGCTGCTCGTGGTGCCTTGCGGTGGAGCCGCGCGTGGAGGCCGGCGGCGCCGTGGAGGGCGCGGCCGTGGACCCGGCAGTTGACGGAGGGGCCGGGCGCGTGGTAGGCGCGCGCGGCCGGGCCGACGTCGACACCGCGCTTAGGGGTGGTGCTCCGGCCCACGGTGGGTTGCCCCCGCTGGCCCTCACGCTGGTTGCCACGCTGCCGGCCGGCGGGTGGTGGGCGGAGGTGGCGATGGGGCATCGGCGCCACCGTCACAGCTAGGGCGCCCAGAAAGAGCGCCCCAACGTTCCTCCACATGGCGAAGTCGGTTGTCACTGGCGTGGAGCGGGTGTGCGTCGGCGGTGGCGTCCGGGGACGTCCGGTTACTGCACCATGCGCGCTGGTGAGCGGTCGCTGGCGACTGCCCCGCATTGCAGCGGCGGCGGCGGCAGCGGGACGCCGCGCGCGCGCGGCAAGGCTACGCCGGGCGGTTTCGCTTCGCGCCCGCGCCCGCCGCCGCGCCGCCCCCGCGGGTGGTCGATACGGGACGCGGCGGCGGGAGCGCAGCGCCGCCGCCGCGCCGCGGCCACTGGGCGTCAGCGCTGGCGCGCCCCGTGTTCCGCCGCCGTCGCGTAAGCGCGTCGCGTGCCACGCGCGCGCCGCGCGGCCGGGCGACGGGGGCCGCGGGGCGGCGGAGCGCGGGCGGGAATCGACGCCGCGCGTCTCTGCCCGACGCGCGCGCCGTCGCGCCCGTGCTGCGCCGCACCACCACGCAGCGCCTCCTGCTGCAGCCGCTGTCGCGCGCGTTGTGTTGTGGTGGCGCGGCCGCCCTTGAGCCCGCCCTCCGAGCCGCCCCCGCCGCCGGCGCCGCGCGGGCGTCGCGCGTGCGCCTCCGCGCTATCGAACCCCGCGCGCCCTTCGCCGCGTGACATGCGCGTTTACGTCGCCGCCACGTTCACGCCGTTCCTCGCCTCTCCACCTCCCTTTCTTCCTTCTTTGCTACGGCACTCCTCGTGGTCTCGTGAGTCAATGCGATTTTTTATGTTAAATTCCTGTAGTGTTAACCCCTCGGGCCGAAATACAGGGATGCTGAGCAGTCTCCTCGGGTCCAGGTGCGATACGATTCAAGAATTTTGAACTAGTTTTCCTTTCTACCACCAAGAGCGCTGTTGTTGGGGGAGTCTGAAGTAGTTTGTATACTGAATACGAGATAGCGTCGTACAGAATGGTAAACAAAGGATAATCGTTCAACGAGGGTTTTCGGTATAGGTAACCTGACTACAACGAAAAAATTGTTTTAAATGTAATTTACCCAGGGATATACAAAAATATGTCCATCTATAATCCAGTTTGTACGTAAATATGATTTCACGTTGGTTTTATAGATAATTAAAATGATACAACGTATGTTTGGAAGATAAGTATTAGCACATTGGTTGGCACAATTGTATGTAACAAGCAACCCTCAGAACATAGCATCATTTCGTGTTGACCATAAAATGTCATTTTTGTTCAATATAAAATAAACATCGTGCGTTAAATATTATGGAATGGAAAGATTGGTGCCGTTTGTGTGCAAATACCGACGACAATTCCTCGCCTGTTTTCCAGAATGAAGACCAACTTTTGCCGGAAAAAATATTCAAATACCTCTCGATCACGGTAGGTCTATAGTATGTGTCAAAAACACCTCGCTCGTGAGCCACCATTTTCATTGTGCAAAGTGTGTTTTTGTTGTGGAATATTTTGATACTTTGAATTGCCCTTTGCTATTAGTGTATATTTTAACCGGCTTTAATTGGAATTGAGAGGTTATGAAGCGTCAGCTTCTAGCTCTTCCTACCCAATGTTTATTTTGAACGGCTGGCGTGTCGATGTGTTTCCAACACACTGTAGGCGACAGGTCCCGCGGGCTGGGGTTGCCGGATCATGCCCTCCGGGCCGGTGCTTGTTGACTGGGATTTGCAATGGTTCTGGGCGGATGCTTACAGATTCGCAACCAGGATGAACTGCCTCAAACGGTGTGCGATGCGTGTACACGCCGGGTCACCGCCTTCGACCGCTATGCCCATCAATGCCTGAGGGCGCAGACGATGTTCAAGGCACTTCTACAGGAAAAAGATGATGATTCCTACAACAAAGCTGTGTTGTTGCGAGAGGAGTACCTGGGACCCGTCATCCAAAAGCGTGACGACCAGGTGAGCGTAGTAATGTATGATAATGACGCACCGGTTATCTTGACACTTGACAGTTCTTGCTTTGTTTACAAGCTAGCGGCAACCAACGTATGTCATCTTTATTCAATATGTTCTGTTGTTCAAATTTGTAACATTATTATTTTTAATTTTGTTCTCGGACATTCATGATGTATTGGTATATAATGTTTATTTGACATTTGGTGCTTTTATCTAATAAATACATGGTATTGATAACTTTGCATTATTGACTTGATTCCAAATTGAACAACATAGTGCCTAACTGGTAGGATGAAAAATGTCATTTAACATGAAGTTTTTAGCAGAAAACATACGTTTCTTACCTATAAATTATGATAGTCTGACAGTGCACCAACAGTTCATGAATCATAATGTTTAGTGCTCCATTAAATTGATGTGACTAATTTCATAATTGATTACAACATTTTTATTTTTGAAAGTGCATCTTTATTACGGTCAAGAAAAGTAACCTTAGTGATAAAGATTTTTTTTAATCTGTAAGGAAGCAAGCTTTTCCTCACTGCCTAAATAATTTTGCTGTATAATTATTTAACAATCAGTTAAGCAAACATTATTAACTTTTGAGAAATATTTAAAATAAATTAATTTTCTAACATAAAATGTTGTTTACAGGTCCATTATTTTGTATTCTTTTGTTATACTGGAAGGTGTTTCTCTTTCAACATCATACATTATGCTAAAGTGTGTTCAACAATTTTAAACTTGTATTTCAATTAAAATCTACTGAAAATTGTAAATCGTGCAAATGGGCTATAAATTTGTTATTTAATGATATATCTTACCTAGAGTCAATATGTTTCTTTTCAAATTGTAGGAATGTTTGAAGAGGTCAAACGAATAATGCACACAAATGCTGAAAAATATTATTGTAAAGTAAATTTTATTTGTAGAGTTTTCTAAATAAAGAAATAGAATATCATGAGAGCAATTTATGAATTAAAAGTTTCATGTTGTTTCAAATATTAATACACTTTTCTAAATGTTTTGCTTAAGTCAATATGATATAAATACATTATCATTTTTGGATCAAAGAATGTTTCACGTAGTTAACTTCATTGTAATTATTTATTTAATAAAAAGGAGTGCCATGTTTTAAAGGAGATCATTACAATACTTGTTTGGTACACATTGGCGGATCCAGGGTGGGAGCCTTGCTCCCCCGCTCCCCCTCTCAAGGCCTAGAGTTTTCGTTTACCGTCCTTTCATTTGAGGAAATTAATTTAAATATTTATTAGTCTTCTAATTATGTAAACAATAATATTGTGTAGTATCATATGTGCAGTATGTAAATAATTAACAAAATAAAAACAAATGTTTTGTTATTCATAGAAATGTACTATGGCCCCCAAAAAATTATCAGCTGGATGCGCCCCTCTTGGTACATTATAATGTTATTGATAGTTTAAATGTTGTCCATGGAAGTACGTGCATACTAACATCTTGCAATTAACATCTTTCATAAGTGCAGAAAATATTTATTATCATGTTTCATACTTTGCAAGAACTAGATTACAAAATCCAACTTTTTTTTTTTTTTTTTTTTTTTTTTTTTTTTTTCCCCATCTTTTTGGGGTATCACAAGTTCATTCAGTTTTTGAAAAGTGTAGTATTGCATTCTAAATATGGAATATGGATTTTTAAATATGGAATATCATTTTGTATTACCTTATTTCTGTTGTGATTTCACTTCCATTTTATTACAAAAAGCAAATAATGAAAAAATATAAGAAAACTAGATATTGGGTTCTCCAATTTGGCTTTAAATGTAGAAAAGAAATCTGCAGATTTGTGAAGAACAAAATTAAATAAAAAGAATTAATAGATTCACTGACTAGGGTTGATTTAAAATATATATTTTTCTATTTTAGTTTTTTAAGATTAATCATAAAAGATGTATATTTAAGACAGTTTTTAAATGATTACTGATTAAACCAGTGTTAATTTTATGGTACTGTAATTATATTATTTTATTTCTCCTTTTCGCTGTGTATCGTGTAATACATTGAACATTTTTAGGAATGTTGATTCCTGTTGAAGGAGAGGCCCATGTTGTGTAATTATGAAATTTCTTGAAAATAACAACTTTGTTCCATAAGTTTCTGCTTTCAGACAGAAATGTTGCTTGACAAGAAATTGTTTGTGTTCCTTGTTTCATGGAATTATTTTTTATCATTAAATTAATTTTAGTAATTTTTATTAAAAGAGCATATTAAAGTTTGAAAACACTGATTTATCAAGAGGGTACAAATATTTTTATAACTACATTAAAAGAAGTTATATATAAAATTATAGAAAATGTAAAGAAAGTTTCAAAGGAAACGTTTTGATTTTTTCTCACATTGTTTCAAATTTGAAAATGTACGAAATCTTTATTATGGTAGAACTTTTCCTTCAATATAATTTTACTGATATAGATAAAGAATTATTGTGTCATGGTGTTTACTTGCCTGGAAGTGTAAAATTTAAAAATAGAATAATAGTTTCCTTAAATCACACAAAATGTTTGACCTCATATCTGGGTTGATGTAGTGCCTGTAAACATAACAATGCATATAAAGAAGTTTCTGAATTAACTCATACATCCTTTAGTCGTAAAAATTTAAATGAATTTAATAAAAAAATTCAAGTGAATCAATATTTCCATAAATGTTCAATGTATTCAAGACACGCTCTACGAATGTTAAATATATCATATATTATATTATATATATATATATATATATATAATATATATATATATATATACTATTATATATATAATATTATATATATATATATATATTATAGAAACTTTAAAAAGAAAAAAAAAAAATTTGAAAAAAAAATTTACAAAGTTTTTAATGGAAAATTTATTTCATTTTCAATCTACGAAAGTTTGTCGTACCAAAAACGGAAGTGTTTGTACTTAGAAACTTCGTTTGTTGTTTTTTCGTTCCCTTTGTACCGGAATACCGTTCCGTACGAAATCCACGAGATTACATACACGCGTCATAAGTGTTTAAGCAGAGTTTTCTCCCAAATTCACAAACAAGAGCTAGATTGTAATATATTATTTACATTTTAAAATTATAATATAAATATGAACTATGTAGTTTTCATGAACGAACTGGAATGTGAGATACCAACTCAAATGCCATCAGAAAACTCGACAATTCAGTTTTATTCGTACCCGCTGTCATTGACAAATCCAGGGGGGGTAAGGGAGCCATCACCCCCCCCTCCCCGGCCGGCTAGAGTTTTCGATTGTTACCTTCCTTTATTTGACAAAATTGATTCACATATTTATTTTTGTTAGAATTACGTAATTATTTAAAAAATAATAATGTATAGAATTATATATACACTACAAAAATATATGCAGTTTAATAGCAAATATATTTATTATTTAGCAAAAATCTATGGTCCCTCCCCGTCGCAGAATGATCGGCTGGATTCGCCCCTGCCCGCTGTGAATTCCGCGTAAAGTGACAGCGTTGAACAGTGGTTCTTAGAAGCACGAAAAAACCGCGCTCGCGCATGGCATCAACATTGTTTTTCTTCCTCGTAATCGTTCGTGGTATAGAGAAAGTTATGTAATGCTGCGGGAAATATATTTTGAGATTTCAACGGAAATATACGTTTTGGGATCCTCTGCAACCAAAAAAACTGTTGTTCTTTTTTCCAAAACATGTGACTGACAGCCTGCCCGTCCGTCAGTGAACAACAATAGCTCCTAAACTGTTCGTATGGTTTTCCCCAAAATAAATATTCCTCGAACTATATGTCCTGATTAGAAGTTCTGCCATTTTGAAACTCTTTTTTTATAGTACCCCTGGAACGTTTTCAATTTTTACTTGCTCGCCTTACGAATTCTTCGTAACAAGAGAAAGTTATGTAATCGTGCGCCAGAACACGCCGAAATTTCGTCAGAAAAAACCTATTGCCGGGTTTTGGTAACGAAATTGTGGATAAATCTGGCTGATAAATTTAGAAAACAAATTAGAAGTTAGAACATTAGAAATTAACTTGTGGTGTCCCAGAATCCATGTTCTGTGGGTCCTTGATACCGAAAAATCGATTGACGGCAAATATCCGGCTGTGGTCATCGCTAGCGTCTAAACCGTTCAGCCGATTTGCTCGAACCTTGATATCCACCAGTCGATCTGGCTGATGTTGTGGCCTTTCAAACCTATATTTTAATTCTGGTACTTATCATAAATCCCCCCTCACATTTTGAAAATTTTCCAAAAATGGCTCGACATGTTTTAATTAAATTGTGTCGTTCAAGGGTGCGAAGAATTGTGCAGGTCTCATATTTGGTTACATCCCTGATTTTTCGAAAATTGCACAAAAAATGTAAGTACGAAATTAAGGATAGAGTTTTTTGGCTCAAACAAAGACTGTTGTAGATAATTACGTCTTTAGAAAAGGTCATGTACAATTTTTTGAAGCACCTAGTAGTTTTTGCGTAATGTGGGCTTGAAATTTACAACAATAAAATTTCTCACAAACCGCTCTAATGTTTTCTTTAAATTTTCTACACAAATGTAATAAGGGACGGTAAGAAATATGGCGCTAATCCCATTTTCGTGTATTGCTGTTTTTTGTTTGTTTTTGTTTAAATTGCAAGAACACTTCAAAACTACAAATTTTAAGATATAGATTTTTGCATCAGGCAAAGTGTATTATACAAAATTATCTAATTACATAAATAAATAAACTAGTGGTGCGCGTGAATGGCGCATATTTTATCGCCCTAGTTTTCTATTGTTTCTATTCTTGACCAGCTTTTCCGACAGGTGTCAGTCTTCTCGGCTGTTTTCTTTCGACGCCTGAAAAACACACATTTTCACATTTTCTTAATTACATTGCTCTGTAAAGCTAGAACTGAAACAATTATATACTTATTACTATTATAGATGTATTCATTGGGCGTCGTAACTGGGTAGCTAACTGGGAGGGTAAGGCTTGAGTTCTTCGGAGGGGACGTTGGCGACTTCGAGTCTTCGCCGGGGACTATTTGTGACAATTCTGTGTTGCCGCAAGAAATAATTGATACTTACTGGGAAAATATTGAAAACCATTTGAAGCAATTCTAATCGCAAATACTGTTAATCAAGATAAATAAACTGGAAGTGGCTGTACGTGATTTTCGAATTTTCAACTTTCAAACAATTTTGCACATCTCTTATTGGATTTGTAAAACGTATGAACCATCAAATCAATTGTTATCTTTAGGCCCTTATGACTATTACAGAAGTACCAATTATCTATATAACCCGGTTGGCCGAAGTGGTTAAATGACGTTTTGTGGCCGTTGGTTCGAGACTGGCTGGTGGGTTGTTATTTGTCGCAACTCTGTTACCGCAGACTACTATCGAGAATTTCAGACACTTAATTGAAAGCCATTTGAAGCAATTCTACTCACAAATACAATTTATTAAGATTATAAATAAAGTGGAAGTGTCTGTAGTATGTCATTTTCCTATTTTGAAATTTTAAACAAGTTTACAAGTCTCTGGTCCTATTTTAAAACGTATGATACATCAAATCAATTGTTTAATATAATATTCAAATCAATATAATATTGTGAATCGTGTAGAAACATTGTGAAAAAGTATGTACTTTGGCAGCACCCTTTTTATAAAATAGCTCCAAACTTTCTTTAAATTTCTTGTAAAAATGGAGTGAAATAAATATGGTATCTTCTAAAGATGACGTAGGTCCAATTTTCACCATGAACTCTGCATTTTTGAAAATTGCAATATATTGAATTTTTAGGCGTCTTCCTACATCTACAATATTGGATCCGGGAGAGAAGACTCGGTGCATCAACCAATGATGCCACTGCAGTGCCTCTGACCGTGGGGTCCTAGATTCGAGTCCCGACAGTGGCAAGATTTTGGACACTAGTCAGCTAGGTCGAATTCAGTCTGTGTCTGGAGGAGAATTCTTGAGACCGGCTGCTCTGATAGGTAGTTTTCCGTGGTTTCTACGATCTACACCAGGCGAATGCCGGAGCAGACCACAAGTGACCTTTGCTTCCTCTTCTTTATCCTATCCTCACCCCTTTCACACACTTACACTATCATGCTCTACTCTACCACACACGCCAGGAGGCTGGTCGGGAGCTTAGAGCTTTTTGCGGCTGGGGCGGTGCCCGGCAGGTGGAAGATACCTGATTGGAGGAAATCCCTCTAGCCGACGGTAGGTCGGCGCCGGATCTCGCCATCCAGCAGTGGTACAGAGAGTATATATCAGAGATAGATTACCGCCACCTTTCGAGGAAAAAATACGCACTACACTTAAGGGGCTCATGACCTCAATAGTCGACGTACCCAGAATCACTAACAACCAACCAACCAACTACAATATTGTAGATAGGGATTTTTTTTCAAATTAAATTAAATTAATCTTTCATTAACGTGAAGTTCTTCTTTTTGAGAATTTTCGTTATTTTCGAGCAATTTTGTGTAAAATGTGGGCAATATTATAGAATATTAAAAACTTTTTTTTAAATGGCTCCTTTAAACATTGTTGGGTTATTGCTAAATGTAGCGTTGGCATAAACGACATTTTGCTGTATTGTTACGTTGTTTTTTTTAAATAAACGTAATGTATATTTTTATCTCTCGCGTTATTTTTTATGATCGTACATTACCGGTAATTTTTATATTATTTCTTTTGAGAGTGCAAGGGCTTTAAATGATGTATGAAGTTTCTCGAAAAATGGCTCCAAATGTTTCCTTTAATTCTTTCTGGATGGTGCTGAATCGACTCCATAAGATGACGTAAACGCCGTTTTGCAGATTTTTTTACACAAATGAATTTTTTTAATCTCTCGTTTCCTTTGAGTACAATTCCTTTAAATAATTTATGTTTCCCGAATACCCATAAGTTTTGGGTGAAAATGGGCTACAAAACGCGCGTTTTTGGAAACGTGAAACGAAATTTCTGAAAAGTCTTCCCAAA